AGTCGGCAACCTCAGCGACCTTGGGGGCAGCCGCGGGAGCAGGAGTGGGAGTAGGGGTGGCGAAGACGGAGCTCCAGTCGACATCGCTCAGATCGTATGCGACCTTGCTCCAGTCAACTTCGTTGGCAGCGCTGCGCTTGACCTCACTGCGAAGAGTTAGCATCCTGGTTTCGTTGTCGACTCGAAGGCATTACTTACGCTTGACGACGGGCGTGGAAGCTGGCGTGACGGTTGTGGAGGTTGGCAGCAGCAGCCTGACCAACGACGATGGTGCTCAGCACCGCGGCGGAAGAGTAACGCATCGTGAAGTTGCGTAAGGGTGATTGAGTGAGGTAAGCGCTAGGTATTTATACTGCGGACAGGTCGTAACGTCGTTCAACGGCGTGTCGTGATGCGCTGGTAGTGGTTGGTCAACGAGTAGTTGAGGTATGAGTAATGAGTGACTGGGTGAGCGAGAGCTAGCAGGCGCAAGACGGGCGTGAAAGAGTGAACGCGCGAATTTGCCTTTTCAAAAAGAGGGACAATGTGTGGATTATATGTTGGGGTGAAGGAGGAAAAGGGAAACAAGCGGCCAGGCACAAAGGTAAGTGGCCCTTCAGCCGGGCTGCCCCCATCTCATCTCCTGGGAGACAGAATTGGCCTAGCGCGCTGCGGACTATCCCCGTTACTAATTTAGTCAGGGCCAATTGCACCGGATGTTGCACCCCTGGATAGCGCGCGATCCTGACTTGGCTGGCGCTTCTCATTGGTGTGCCTGAGCCAGGCACAGTTGGCGCTCCGAGGTTTCAGCCGCTTTTGATCTCTCTTCGTCGCTTCATCGCCTGTCGCAGCCGCGTTCCCCTTGGCCAGACTCGCAAGCGGCAAGGAAGCAAAGAGTTGTCGCTCGACTTTCACAACGACAGTGCGCAATCCCAAGGCGCGGCACTCGACTCAGCACCCGCGGGCGACGTCGTGAAGGCCGCGCAATTGCGATCTACACAGTGTGGAACCCAAACAGCTGTGATTGGGGCAGCCGCCCGTGGATACTGACCCTCCAGATTCCAGAACGTTTTCCACACATCGGCGCCGCGTTGCCTGCGTGTTCCTGTCACACTCCGGCACGTGTTTTCACCCAACGAGTCTAGTCTCCGTCGCCCTGACGAGTCCACAACCTTCATCTATCACTGTCACTGCCGTGTGCAGACATAATGTACACTCCATTCAGCCGCGACAGTCTGTGAGCCGGACACGTCTTCCCCCTCGGCTATGCATGCGTAACTCTCCAACTCCGTCAGGGCATGCAGTCCTTCCGCAGGATCGTGACGCAACCGTCCACACGACGACTTTTTGCCCGCCCATTTCCACATCTGCAGCCCACCTGCACCTAGGCAGGATTCTCTCCATTCACGGATCAGCAAGATGTGCCGATACAACGTTTGTGGAGCCCCGGTGCCGTCAGCGGGACGATAAGGCTCTTTATCGCAACGTGGTAGCCGGTATATGCATGGTGAAAATCTGGAAGACTACCCACTGCTAGTACGGTGTACAGCGACACCGCCAGCCGTGACCAGAAAAGCCTCACACGACGTGGTGGGTCGCTGTTCGCTGGATCTTCCCTGTGACGCTCCTCTGAGCAGAAACGGACCGGTAAGCGAAAACCATGTGTACCTTCTGCTCACCGGCCGCTGGACCTTCTCTCATGGCCAGCGAGAGTAGTGACGCGGACATTTTTGTGCTTCCATCATCTGTCTTGGTTCTTTCATGGTTGTGCGGCATGTCGCCCTCGACATTGTACATCTGGTCGAGCAACCTGCCCTTGCACAGAGCAACAACACAGCCTCTATGCGCCAACTGAGACATTGCGAAACCAAGAGCTACACAGAAACACTACTGCATGCGGACACCTTCTGTTCCTGCCGCCGTTCTCTAGGCGACACACATGCTCTCTAGTTCAGCCAGCCATACGATTACTATTATCTGCCGGACCGACAAGTCCTGCATTTGTCGCTCAAAACTTCCCATTGGCGGACATTACAACACTACCATCATGATTTTCCACACAAACCAATCATACGAACAGCGCAACGTCCTGCGGAGCCGGCGACGAAAAGCTCATGCAAGACGTTCGCAAGTGTTGCCCGCTTATCGATACCTACTCGGAGCCGGGTTGGTGTGACATCACTAGGTGTAAGACTACCAACAAGCGGATGTGTTCTAGACAACTACAGGTAATTTCGCTTGTGGGAGGGATTTGTGGTGCTGTGGAGCGGATTTACCAGTCATACCTCGAGGTTGTATGCTCGACTGGCTGCTAGATGATGGAAGAGTACTTCCTGGCAGAATCTTCTTTTTGCGACTACACATCCGTTGACAGGGTATAAGCGATCAGAGGTCATGGAACCGCGTGAGCGGGTGGAGATATCGGTCAGATCGGGCAGCAGGCATGCAACATGACGGACGTGGTATCTGCTTCGAATCGAGGTGGAAGTGTCCATATCGATCGTAGTGATGACTCAATCATGTCGCCATGAGGCGGAATGTTGGAATTGCGGAACTCAATGTCTGCCCTACGCACTTGCGTTGATTGCAAATATCGTCGTCCATAACAACAGCAACAACAACAATCTGCCATAGTAGCGGGGACCCATGTACACACCCCTCAGCACCAGCGGTTCCCCCTCACAGGCACCCCTCACCCAACAATCCCAAACACAATCTCGCTACCACGCAAAAACCAAATAACCACCAAGAACGCCCCAACGTGTTCTTCTTTCTAAGCCGCCGAAACAAGTTCAAAGCCACCGAACGTTTCTGAGTACGCGCGTGCTAGTCTGCCAGAAAAAAGTCTGGATTGGCAGCGGGCGCGAAGTTGTGTTGGAGCGTGGTTCGGTCGGAGGATGAGTCGGCACCATTGCGCTGGTGCGGATGTGGTGCCTGTCGATCAAACGCGTTCTCGGTTGGTGCTGCGTGCGCAGCGCAGGAGATCAGGTTTGCCGATCTGAGTGCCGGGCGGGCGTGAAGAGTTCGCGGCACCAACAACACAACACAACACAACACAACAGTCATGCTTGATATGATATCGACTATCTTATGCGCTGCATGCGACTGGCAATGATGATGTTGTGGAAAGTGTTGCGACGTTGTGGCAGCGATGAGGAAGGCATCTGACATTTTCGACGGTGCTGAGGCACAGCCCACGGCGTCGCCAGGCAGACACATCACTCTACCACGGCATTCATCTTGCTCGCAACACCTGTCAAGACAAGTCATTCGGACAACTAACCCCATGCTACAGTTTCCGTTCACCTTAGTCACACGTGGCCAGTTGGTCAACAGACTCTAGAAGTTCTGACCTCTCAGTTCCCGCCCGTCGCGAGACGCGCAATGCCGACCCTCGGTCCCCGAGCTATCCACACGTTCGCAGAAGCGCGCAGACAGGGTGGCTGAAACCGATTACCTGCATCTACTCGTAGTGTACCACGCGAGAACAACACGCTCTTCGCTATCTTATCGTCCACGTTTCCTGCGGCGCGTCCCCGCCACTAGCACTGGCACCGCACTCACTAGCAGAAACAAAAGAGAAGGGAAATGTGAAACATGCATGCTCACATACATGCCAATCGTTCAGCTCATATACGGCCCCACTCGGAGTTCTACACTTCTTCGTATCCAGTGTCGCGAAAGCCTAGCTATGCAGGCTGGACATCTCCCGGGCGCCGCGTGGCGTTGGGGGCCGCTGACAAGTTGAGTTTGTTGCTGGTGTATGCGACGGACAATGCGGCTAGGGAGGAAGTTGATGTTGCAGCGTACTGTTGGACTGCTGTGGCGCTGTTCAGGGTCTGAACAGATGAGTTCAGTGGTACACTTGCACGGGTAACGGTACGCTTGACCAAGTTAGGAAGGAGTAGAGGCATGGGCGGAGGTAGCTAGGTGTTTAAAGTATGATCGTTCGCTGTTAACCACGTAGATCCCAGGTGATATAGAGATACGGGATGAGGGTTTAAGATGGCGGTGAGGGCTAGATCCGGCTGTCCTGTATCGTTTACTGGGTTCAGGTATGTCGGTGTACGTACATGTAAGGCGTGGATGGGTAAGAGTTTGCATTCCCTTTTTCTCGCTACTTTGCGGAGAGGGTAGCCAGGTGGTTTGATTAACGTGCACTGATCACGTAGTACATTTGCTTGGAGATATGGTACAGTGTGTACATGTCGACATATTATCGCGGCTGCCGCACTACCTTCCATCATCTATCCTCCATCTAGCTACCTGAGAAACCAAAATGGGCATCTCCTTCACCGCTCTACCCCAACTCGGTCACCCGCGTACATAAACTCTTGTGGGAATACATTGTCATTCATATCGAACAAGTCTATTGACATAAACGTAGATCATCAACCATCTCAACAGCCTCAACGTCCCTCAGAACGCCGCTCAACACGTTGATCAAGCATGTGACAGGAAGCTAACGCACATCTAGACGCTTGAACCCACGAAGTATGCGTCTGCACCGGCATGAGCCGCTGCGAACCATTTCTTGATGCATGGTAGCTCAGACTTGCTTTTCCCGCGCATGTGCTTTTTCCAGCCCACGAAAGCCGAGATAAGGGTTCAACGGGTGTGTCAGATGTGATTTGCGTGTTTCATGGTTTTTCTGGTGATACATATACGAATAAGAAGACATGCTGGAGATGGAGTGGTGATGGAGGTGTGGTGGTGGGATCCTCGTTGGATGTGAAACTGCACATCAGCGCTACTAATGAAATGCTTCGCCAGCTACTTTAGCATATTTGCTATGCATAGCGGTAGGTGTGTGGCAAGCGAACACAAGCAGACATGAACGCATCTCAAAGGTATGTGCCAGGGAAGTGACAATTCATTGATAGTAGTTCATAAAACGAGTGTAGTGCCAAAAGATTGTACCCAAGGAGTAGAAGCTTTTGGCGAGTAGTCGACGAATATCGACCCTATCACCATCTCAATAGCAACATCTTCCACATGCCGCCGTAAGTACTGTCACTCCTCTAACCCTGGGCCTCAGTGAGGATCAGCTTCAAGTCCTACACGCATCCATTAGCATACTTCTCACTTCTCACGACCCACAACTTACACAGCCTCCGTCAGCAGGAGCGCACTGCGTTCCACCAATACTAGCCAACTGACAGTTGGAAACCTCGAAACGATTGTAAATCTTGTCGCTCTTGCGGAATAGATCGATGGCAACGGAACCAGGCCCATTCTGCTCGTAGACCCAAGTTGCCTGGTAGTCGTCATCCAAGTCTTGAGTACCCCCGTTCTTCATATCGAAGTTTTGCTTGCATGTGCCAGCAAAATCCACTGTTCCGAATGCGCCCAGAGAATCTTGGTCGCCGACGATGAAGTTGCAGACAGGGATGCAGCAGCCTCCGGGGCAGCCACCGAAGGTACCGCCGTCGTCAAGGCTCACCTGAGCTTTGGTCTGAGGTCGATGTTAGTTTGATTTGGCGCACTGGGAGGATATGAGGGAAAGGGGAGGTGTACCGTGGCGAGGAGGGCGATGAACGCCAGGCTGATAGATTGGATGGAATGCATGTTGATGGTCCTCCTGAGTCGGATGATTGTCGTTGATATTGTTGAGGATGTGAGTGGAGTTTGTTGCGAGGTTTGAAGATCATACTTATACCTTTTCTACCAAGTACCCATCGTCGATTGCTCACACTGGTACTGCGGTGACAGAGACCGACGAGCCACTCATGATCCCCGCAACCATCCCATACGTAAAGGTATTCCTAGGATTAGAGATATCGCAACCATCAGATATGTCGATCATTCATAAGTCTGTTTCTGAGCACGTCCCTGAGAGGCAGAACATGTTGTCCTTACTCTACTGTAACTGGTAGACGGTGAGTATGTATGGTAGTTTTAGGCTATATAACAGGGCGGTTGCTTATAGAAGTCTTGGTCTAGACAAGAGATCAATTGCCTATAGTAGTCTTGGACTAGACAAGTGGGTGATTGCTTACGTTGATCTCAGACAGAATAAGAGGGCGATTGCTTATAGTAGTCCTAAACCGGACAGCAAGGCGTTTGATGATGGTAATCTTTGGTTAGACAGTGGGACGATTGCTCATCGAGTCTTTGCACGTCGGTTAATATCGAATTCGTGTGTACTGGCAGACACAATACCTCCTCCCCCAATAGAAATACACCTGGGCAAGCTTAGATGGTCATAGCCAAAGCTGTTCATGACAAAGCCTAGTATACTTCACCACGTTCTGCACAGCGGATTGAATATGTCTCATAGCCATGTCATCCTCAGTGTCCTTCATGTCCTAGCTCTCCACTGCTGGGGGTCGCACTGATATCCTCCTCGCTCTGTTGTCTACTCACCTCCACCGCCTGGGACTGAGATGAGATATTCCCCACTCTATCGATATCTCTTGTCCGTCAATCTATAATGTAGCGACAGCCTCCTCGCTAAGGTTGGTGTGCGCCGTTTGCGTCATTGTCGCATGTGCGCGCTCACTCTCCGCACCACCGCGTTTGCTCTCAATTCGACCTATATCTCCCCACAACAAACTCGCCTACGACTTCTGATATGTGTATATATATCAATCAATTGAGCAGTGTTCCATCGCAACACGACTCCGAATGGCCTAATAATCCCTGGATGCGTCTCCTGGGTTGACCTTGAGAATACCGTTGATAACAGCCATTTCGGTGAGTGAGTTCGATCCTCATAGTCTACCGCAGTGTTGTGATTATTTATTTTTGCTCCTTTTTGCTCACTTTGATGTCTTTCACTCGCCTTCACTCAGACTTAAGGATGGCGTCATTTTTGCTCTTGCTTAATTCAGTACTAGCGGGTGAGTATACGTTGATTGCAGTCGCAGTGAGTGTAGATATTTGGCGGGAATATGAAGTGAATGTGAGAGTGAAGGAGAATTCACTACCCTCCTTCACTGCAGGACTTTTACGCACTGGAGCCTAGGCCATATAAATCTTCTTCTGGTCGTAACTCTGCTTCCTTTAACCACCCACATACAATCAAGCTATCATCACTTTAAAGCTTTTTTGTATACATCATGTCTACATTCTCCGATCTCACCCGCACCGAGAAGCGCGACATGATTCGCGGCGAGCCCTTCGACGGTCCGCAAGTCACCATGGAACCCAGGAGCGTACGTGACCTCCTCGATACGCTCGACAGCATCCCCAACAACAAGTTGGGCACTACACACCCCGCCGCCGCCTCCCTCGCCCTCCTCGAAGAGAACTGGGGCGTCGACATGACCTCCTTCCCCCCTCCCCCTCCCATGTACGGTGGACGTACATTCCGTCCGGCCGGTGACGCGGCGACTTGGGACTTGCGCCTGTTGGCCACTCTGGCAGTCTTGTCGGAGTTTACGCACGGCCAGGGCGACTACATGGGCAGCCAGATCAATTCGGCGGTAGAATTGAGGAACATCAACAAGAGGTTCAAGAAGGACCTTGACTTGGTGACTACAGTCGATGTGGTGAGGGTGATTCGCGATTTGCTGCATCCTCTTGAGGTAAGTTATTCTTTCTTTTGAAGATACTTCGATTGTAAACTACAAATGCTAACAATATACAGATGAACGAAGAAGATGTCTTGGCGACAAGGAAGCGCAAGAACGAGTACAACGGCCGCCGCAAGTCCGAGCGGGACAACACCAAGGCCACCGAGCAGGCCATAGACACCGACATGCCGGTTGGGGGTGAGGCGATGGAGAGGGTTGAGAAGAAGTTGAGGAAGACAAGGCTTCCTGACAAGGTCGAGTCTGACTCCGAGGAGGAGATGTTGGCTCCTGGAGACCGCATGGAGTAGATAGTTGCGGCGGGGTGAGTCGTTGTCGTCGTCTCGCATCCTGATGACGTTGGACTTCGCGCTGTGAAAGTGCAGCCAGGCAGATACAAATACAGTACAGTATCACCATGTGTCGATTATCCTAGTCGAATGTCGACCTCTTCCGTGTCTGCAGCATCCCATTCATCCTTCCACACGTGTCCTATAGCCTTGCGGTATGCTATCCCGTCTTCCCGCTCGATCCATAGAACGTGGTAAGCCATGAACTGCCATCTTGATGCTGGTGTATAGATCCTGGCGGCGAATTGTTTCGAGTCTGGAAAGCACTCCTTAGGACAGGTTTTCTGAAAGACTCGTCCTACATCGAAATCACGCTGCTGAGCATGTTTAATGCACACAGGCCTAGCCAAGCTGATGCAGATAAGCTCTACCTCGTCTTTAGGTAACTGGAGAGCATTATTTGCGATGTCGATGTCCAAGATACCGATCACCTGACCTTCAGACCCTTTCAAGACAGGCGTGTTTGATCTCAGATCGAGGCGAACATGCTTAGACAAGGAAGCAATCAGCCGCCGAGTCCGGAATGCTAAGATAGGGGAAAGAACGCATCCAGCTGTTAAGCTTTGTGTATCATCTTCTTGGGCTATAGGGTGCATATCAAATACCTTGGTAGGCAAACTGGAGGGATAGTGTTCGTTCACGACTAGACTAGTCAGCCCGCGAGTTTCATAGTAGTGCAGGTCTTTGATGTATTCCTTGCGCTCGCCATGCGGTTCTATGATAACTTTTGAAAAGTTATTAAGTTGAGGATAGTCGAGAGTGGAACATTGCAGTCTTCTGGTCGCCAGCTGTGCTTCATTGACAGAACTCAAGTTGATAGGCCCAAACCAGCCTGCCCATGACCAAGAAGGGAAAGCTCTTAAGACGCTGCCTTGACGATCCGTCCGCCTTTCCTGACGAGATCTTTCGTCATAGTGGCGGCGGTCTTCGCCATGGTGCCAGCAAAGTATAATGGGCAGGAAGAGCTCTGGTATGCCGAATATGAAACTGCTTTTCATAGCACGTTCTTGCACAGTCATAAACGCGTTGAATGCAGCTAGAACATCTTCGGGATAAGTCAACTTCCGCTTTGTGTAGACTTCAACCGCATTACAGTATCCATGGAAATCATGATACGTATCCCAACTCCGCGGTGACAGCTTTGTGGGAATCATAGAACTGCTTTCCGCGTTTTCCGACTGGGTGTCTGTTTCGCAAACCCAAGAAACTGATTGATCACGGAAAACAATCAAGCGACGCGAGAATGTCCACTCTTGAAAAGTCCAGCCGCGGGTATGATACAATGTACTTCGCTCTCCACGTGAGGGCCTCAACACCTCGACGCGGCAGTTGGGACTAAAATTATATACCTCAAAGGGTGGTTTCCTTGGTCGCTGTTTGTTGACTCCAGGTATGCCGTAGGCACTGTCTTCCCCTTCCGTAGCAGCTATAGTGACGTACGCATTGGAGTATATAGATGCCATGGAAGCCAACTGATGGGGCTTCGTGACTTCATCGTCCTGTACAATAGAGAATCTGTCCACCCACAAGTAGCGAAGGCCTAGAGCGCGTGTGAACGATATGCTGTCCGAGATAGTGTTGGGTAGGCGAGTGCGGTTACAAGGGAGGTCGAACGCATTTTCCTGGCTCAAAGCTTCGGCATTGGCTTTCACTGTCTGGAAAGGATCGACATTTGTCCCCCAAACATAGCTCAAGGCGGCGTATCGATAGTCACCGCCATGCTCTGATTGTTTCACGAGACAAAGTTTCTCAACGTCGATGAACCGTAATTCTGTGGCATTCGGCATCTCAGTCCTCGAGTTCGTGATTGTGTGGCAAACGCCGCCGTGGTCCTTTTCGCATCTATCAATCCATCTCTTGATGCCCTCGATGTTGATTTCTCGGTCGAAAATGGAGAACCCGGGCGCGCTTGCACTTGTAAAAATGTCCAAGAATAACCCGCAGGGGATTTTCTCCCCGCCCTTCACTCTTTCGCCACTCATCTGCAACATCCAATTGCCATCAAATTGAGAATAGGAAACAAAGCCGGTCCATTCTCGTACGTAATCGGCCCGTGTATGGATCTTGAACTCCTCCGCTATTTTTTGGCATGTAACGCACCCAGCGTTCTGCTGGACATCACGATATTTCCACACGTACTCGCCAGGATACTCCACCTTCTTCTCTATCGCGTCCGCGACTGATTCGCAAAGTGCGCACTGCACCATGTCTCAATGGCGTGACAGATGTGTGCGATCTCGAGGGCGACCACGCGTATTGGACTCTTCGTGCAGATAATATGGCCAACGTCCGCTGCTGACCGATGCGGGGTCAACGCTCCTTAGACATACGGACGATGTTGAAATGGAAGAGCATTGGTCGTCAGATAACGATTATAGGTATACCTCGAGTGGAATTCAGATGAAAGGTTGAGGAGTTGGTGAGCAGGATGTAGATGGGTGCGGAATGTGACAAGGCAGCTGCCACCTCATGCGCAGCCTGATGACATCATGCATGCTTATCGCCATATCTCAGCCTTGAGAGTGTACCGATCGACGGAAGAGAAGGTACATTCCATGTGGGTGACATGTCAAAAAGAATATATCGAGTACATGAGGACAGGGAAACGGCATAGGCGGTCAGTGGGCGAACAGTGACTATCTAGTACCTAGGTAGGTGGTGGTTGACAAACTTCGCGCTAACCGGACATCGCGATCGCCGGACCCGTGGACGCATCTGCACCCCAGATTCAGAGCCCACTTGTTTCATCGGGAATAACGGGGCATCAGTTCAATCCGATTTTACCTACCGCAATGCTACATATCCAAAATCCCACTCATACCACACATTACACACACTTGCCAACAATCCCATGAAGAACCCCATCCCCCGGCCTGTTTCACGGAAATAACGCCCCCAGCCTTGACAGACGTCATGCCTAGCGAACGACAGTCACGTCCCAAGCTCATGGCGCGGGCACCCTCCCCCTAATCCGGAAGATCTGACTAGTAGAAATGAGGGGAAGTACGAGATCGGCTTCCAATGGCGTTGGCATCGTGATGGGAGATCATGCTGTGACGTCTTCAAGCATACGGGGTATACGGAGCCGAGGGCATGCGACGAGACATGCTTAAGCAGTCGCGTTCTGCTGAGTAGGATATTTCTGTGCGTCTGCTAGTACTCTTCTCACGCTGATACTGGCGTTGAGGCTCAACAGGCTTTGGATTAGACTGTCCCTCATTCTTCGTTTAGTGTTGCTTTGACGTGCGTTTAGCATGACTACCGAAGGACCCATGGCCCCAGGGCGGTCAATCACACAGGATTGGGCAGACGACCGCTCCGATGATCGCCTGCACAGCGTTACTTCTGGTACGAGTGCTACACCTCTGACCCAAGCGCAAACACAGTATTCGGCGCATTCTACCAACTCTGAACTCTCGGCCCATCGAACGTCGTCGAGCGCTCAACGGAAGCGATCGGTACTTGGCTTGCATCCTCAAGCACCCATCGACGAAGAGCATGACCACGGTGCGGCGTCGGAGTTGCTTTGGTCGCGCATACGGACGGTAATGAGGGAGCCGTTCGCGGAGTTCTGGGGAACTGCTATAATGGTTATGTTCGGTGATGGAGCGGTTGCGCAGGTGTTGCTTTCGACTGGACAGACGACGGCTCCAGGTGGTAATGGGTTCGGGCAGTATCAGTCCATCAACTGGGGGTGAGTCGAACATCGAAGTATTGGAAGATCGCAAGGTATGCTAACACCAAGAAGCTGGGGCCTGGGCGTCATGCTTGGGCTGTACGTCGCAGGCGACTCTGGCGCATACCTGAACCCGGCGATTACACTCAGCAACTGCATCTTTCGTCAGCTGCCCTGGCGGCGGTTCCCTATGTACTTCGCCGCACAGATGCTCGGTGGGTTCGTTGGGTCTGGGATCGTATACGCGAACTACATCAGCTCCATCGACTGGTTTGAGGGCGGGAAGATGCGAACAGTGCCTCCGGCTGAGAAGGCTACTGCGAACATCTTCTGTACTTACCCACAGCCATTCCTTACCAAGACTAGCCAGTTCTTCTCGGAGTTCATCGCAAGTACACTGTTGATGTTCGTCATCTTCGCGTTGAAGGATCCGAGCAATAATGGCGTTCCGAAGGTACGACTGACAGCAGTGATAAATGAGACAATGCTGACCGTTCTATAGTCCGACAAATGGTTTCCTCTCTGCCTATTCTTCCTGATCTTCGGCTTGGGGTCTTGCTTCGGCTGGCAGACTGGTTATGCGATCAACATCGCTCGTGACTTCAGCCCAAGACTGATGTCTTATGCGGTCGGGTATGGTCATGAGGTGTGGTCCGCTGGCGGCTACTACTTCTGGGTTTGTCTTCTGATGGCGTTCATAGCTCTTTCTGACCATGTCTAGATACCGATGGTGGCACCATTCCTTGGCTGCGCGTTTGGAGGCTTCCTCTATGACATCTTCATCTACACGGGACCCAGTCCTATCAACTCGCCATGGCTCGGCTTGAAGCAGCTCACTCCGGGTAACGCGATGCGAGCGAGACGAGAACACATAAGGAGAGAGAAAGAAGAGGGGATTGTGTAACAGTCCATTCTTTGCATCCGATCATGAGGCCTGGCAAGGTAGATATTCCATGAACAGAAACGCAGGCTCTGAAACAGCCAAGTTCCCTTTATCGAGGTATTCTTTGTTCGTGCTGTATCTAGAAAGGTGATTGTAAGCCGAAACGAATGACATCTCATCTGTTCAACAAGAGCGAAGACGTTTGCGAGTACGCGTGGAAAGAGCCTTCAGTGGTGCTTAGTCATTCACGCGTGTCGGTGTTGTCTGACGCCATTGTGCCCCGCTGATGCCCGCAAGCCGCTGTCAGGCGCCGCATACCAAACTTTGACTCACTCGCAACTACACACGACACATCGAAATACTCGCGCACCACGTCCATCCACTTCGGAAACAAATACGATC